GTAATCATATTTTTAAAAAGTACAAAAAATTATACATAAAAGTGCTATAAAGTGTTTTTCTCCTTAAATCACATAAACAAAAAACAAAAATGATTTTATGTTTCGAATACAGATACTATACCAGAAATTGCATTTCTTTGGTGCTGGATTCACATGAAAGATGAATCCTGAGAGGCTGCCTGACTCTAACAGTCTGTAAAAACAGAGCAGCTTGATTTCTTTTCTGCTCTCATCTCTTCCTACTCCAAATAAATAATCAGTTGATGTGAATATTAAATATGCCCAATCAGTATTAAAAGAAACTAACCCTCTTTGTATCACTTGATATTTAAAAAAATACATATTATGCTACAGTCCTCATGTTTAACCCATTTTTTTTCCTTACACTATAATCTTAGAAAAGAGAGGATAAATAACACCAAGGCAGTAAGTAAAGGACAGAATATTAAAATACCTTACCTGAATGTTACTGCTTTCACAAGGAATGACACTGCTTTCAGCAAGAGGTGACATGCACATATGAGAGTTTTCAATACTGAAGGCAATTCCACTCACGAAATCAGTCATGGGTAAACTCCCATTATCAACTGGCTCCTTAATCCAAGTGTTCTCATCTGCTATCTCTATAGGATCAACCATATCCACAGTGTTATTCTCCTTCTCACTTTCAACATCCTGCAACAGTGCTAATTCTTTCTCAGAAGCACTGGACTGGTTTTGTGTAATAGACATGGCAGTCACAACTAAATGTGTGCCATGTGTAGAAGCGTCGCTGTTTAACTGCCGTAGGTGTATTTCGGCAGCATCCATGCCTGGTGATGAAACATCTGTGGAAGGAATATTCTCTTTATCTTCTTTATCTTCACTGTGAGTCTCAAGAGTAAAAGGTATCTGGATCAGTGAGGTCCGATACGGAGTACCACCTCTACACATCTCGAGTCTCATAGGGGACCAATTTTTAATTGGTGAGCAGCCATCTATATAAGGACTTCTGATACACGGATTAGTAATTCCATTAGAATTTGTTCCAGATGAAGCATCAGGAGAATGAAAAGCAAACTTCCTTTGTTCTAAAAGATTAGGAGGGAAAAATCACATCATAAAAACACAAAAATGGAAAAGCCATTACTAAATGATAATAATGTTTCATGCCAAGAAAAACTGGATTTCTGTAACAGTAGTATTGTTTACTAAAGTGAAATTTTGATACCGAAAACAGTAGCACCAATGAATGTGTCTCAATACGTAGGATGAGGCTCTTCAAAAATAATTTCTCTGGTACTTTTTACTCCCTAAGAATTATTTCCCTAAAAGCATACTATTATACCAATATTGTTCATATACAAAGATGATCCCTAGCAAATCAGCTGAAAGCTACAACTCAACAGCTGTACCTGCTAAATGAAATATATAACATATATTTGTTTATGCAAAATACCATAAGCGACATGAAAAGACAAAACTGGAAAATAATATTTGCAATAAAGAGCCTAACAATGATAATCAAGTAATAAAAATGCTTTAAAACTTTTAAGACTACTTTTTATAACTTAATGAAGTTATAAAGAGCTTAACAAAAACAAAAGTTTTTTAAAAATGGGCAAAAGCACATAAACAATCTTCCTGATGGTAAATAAGCATACGAAAAGTGTCCAGTCAGTCACACAAGTAATAAAAATATGGAAGTCATAGCAATGAGAGACCATTGGTTTAACAATAACACTGAAGTCTGAACTAACAATTCCCCCCTCAAACCACAAACAGCCAATAAACATCTGGAAAAAGTTCAACATCAATTAATGACCAAAGATAGAAAATTTAAAGCCATAAGAAATCTTTTTGTAATGTACCAAATTAGTAAATATCAAATGGAATAATACCAGTGCTTCTGGCTGGGGAAGAAATAACTTTCTTACGTACTATTGAAGAAATTTTAATTGGTACAACCTTTTATGAAGAAAATTTGGCAAAATTTATCAAGAGCCTTAAAAATATTCACCCCCTTTGATGAAATAATTCTACTTCTTAGAGTTTAACTTACAGATATAAATATGTGCAACACAATGTATAGTTTTGTGATAAAGAAAAACTAGAAAAAATTTAAATGTTTAACAATGGTTGAAAACAAATGACACATCCAAAAAATAGAATATTATATGACAATTCGAAATCATGCTTTGAGACAATAATAAATGACTTGAACAACCTATGAAAATGCTTTATGAAAAAAGCAGGCTATAGAACCATGTGTGTGCACGTGTATGCATCCAGATCCATACATCTATATACATACTGACACACACAACGACTAGCAAAGTACAGTTTTCAATTTTCCAATTTTGTTTAGTATGAAGTTTTTTTAAACTGTGAAGTTTTCAAAAAGTGCTATAATTTTTTCAAAGAGAAATTCACAACTGCAAAGAGAAATGTGTTAACTTCTACACATTATATTTACCTGGAAAACCTTAACCAAATGTACCTTTACAAAATATGAATATCTGATTACCAAAAGTCTACACCTACAAGTCAGAAGGCATACAAAAAACAACTTGTTTCTAAAATTGCTATCTTTCATTGATAGAATGTTTGATGTAAATATTGCTAATCAAAGTAACTATATTTAAAACTACAGTGAAAATTTGATGAGAATTCCAGCCTTTGAAGGTAAATTGTTCCTTTTGTGTAAAAAGAAAAAAAAAAATCAAAGTTTCTAAATGTTAGATTAGTGATCATTTAGAGCTCTATAGTTAAAGCAAAAAGAACCTCTTTAATAACAAATATTGATAGTAAAGAAGTTTTAACTAGGTATTTTATTATGAGACATACCTGAGAGTGGAGTCTTTCTTATTTGAAATGCAATTGGTGAGAAAGTGGGTGAAGAAATAGGTGAAGGACTGGTCATGCTTCCCAAACTGTACTTTTTTGCACTAGCCTGAATAGGGCTAGAAGAAAACTGCCCCTGTGATAAAAATAAATAAATAAAAAATCAATAAATTTATATGGTTCTCTTCCTCAACTCAGTTATTCTGCATGCTATTTATCTTCATCTTCAAAACAGATATATAAACTAGGAATTGTTCACAAGAACCACCAAAAGCCATCTTGTAACAAACATAAGTAAGAAGATTGCTACAAAAATTTTGGAATAGAATATGTTAGTCAAAATATAAATGCATTGTGTTTAAACATTAAATTTCATACCAAGTAGGTGTCTGTGAAAAATTTTTAAATAATTTACTCCATTAATGCCAATCCAGTTGTGTTATACTGTAAATCTTACATAATTCTGCAAATAGTATTGTTGAATGAGATTCCTTGAGATGACGCATGATAAATTTGGTTATATTGTACATCTCTAAATACAAAATTGGAGAGAGTATGACCCAAAAACATGCCTATGTCTAATGACAATATATGAACTAGGTTAGTCTTCATGAAGTATAATACCTAAAAGACAACTATTCCTCCTGAGTGCAATATGAGCATCTAGGTCCAAGCACATCTACAGAAAATTAACCAGCCACTTTTTAGTATACTTCTTACCGAACTTGGTGTCTGCACAGGGCTCCTACACTGTACAGGAGATAAATCTATTGAATAAAAAACCTCAAGTGATGCTTGAGCACTGCTACGAGGACTTCTGGAAGAAGCTGAAGGTAAAGAGTCAGAGATGCTTCCGTTCCCATCTAAAAACAGCTTTCTTCTGAGGGATGAAGAACTAAGGTTTCCAGGAGATTGATCTGCAAATTCATCAGCTCTAAAATAGTCACCTATATTTAATAACAGAATAAAATGTAAAGCTAGCTGTTTTGAGGAGCAATTATACTTCTGTTGCCTGACTTTTTATAAACCAGCATGTACTATATGTTTGGATTTTTTTCAAAATAGAGAGCAAAATTTAATTGCACATGTGATGTTTTAAATCTTAAATTACTCCTTTTTACTTATTTTTTATTTTATTTTATTTTTTTAGAAATAGGGTCTCACTCTGTCACCCAGGCTGGAATGCAGTGACCTGATCATAGCTCACTGTAGCCTCAAGCTCCTGGGCTCAAGCGCTCCTCCTGCCTCAGCCTCCTGAGTAGCTGGGACAACAGGCATGTGCCACCATGCCTAACTATTCTTTGTATTTTGAGTACTTCATTATTAGTATAGGTATTACCAATAAAATGTTTACAGTGTATGTCTATAGTAAAATTTATTACAATAAAAAGGCTAATTCAGACCATGTTTGACAAAAAGAAAAATTTCTGGACAGTTTCCCCACTTCTTTACAAAAAGAGATTGCCACATATTACCATTTACAAAAAGCCAGCAAAAGAAAACTTTTAAGTTATTTAAGATTTAAACAAACATAAGATTTACCTAATATATTTTCTAAATTAAAATCCACAGGAAGAGACAGCAATGTCTGACAAGCAGCTGGAAGCAAGCAAATAAATAAATAAATAAATACAAAAATAGATACATCAATGAAAGCATATGACATGCCATTTAGCATGTCCTTCCCAATCAATCATCTCTCCAGGCTATTCCAGCCAAAGAGAATTATTCTATTTCCACATTCTATTACATACCATGCCACCTTCCTATGAGCAGTTTCCCATACTTTCCACAACCGATACAAACGTGTTAATAGAAAAAGTTAATTCCTGGCTATGGTTCTGGCACTTGAATTAAGAAGGAAGCCAGCCTATGTTTGGGGGGAAGTTTTCCACATTAACAAACTTTCAAAAGAATGCTTTCCAAAATCAGAAATCAATTCACACACTTTGAACAAGAAAACAACACACTATTGCTATTTCTAAAACATGGCTAGATGTATCTATCTGTTCTACTCTATTTGTTTCTAAAAGTCAGCTCTCATAGAATTATTTAGCTCATTCATAACAAGTAAACAATTTCAATTCCAGAGGAAAGTGTTACTACATGACCTGGGCTTAAAATCAAATGTAGCTTAATATGGAACATATTTCTTTTCAGATTGTGCTCACACTCACCATTGCTTTTCTCAGAATGAATGGTCAGCTTTTTTCCAATTGGAGAGTCACTATATATGTTAATGCCTATAAAACATTTTAAGGAAAAAAATCTTACATTATATATCTTTCATTTACTTTAGCATTTACTTTTTCCAGAGTAAAAAATTAAAGTGAAAACTTTTACAACTTTTAAAAAAATATTTTTTGGCATGTTTCTGTTAGGTTGATTATTTTTTTAACGTGGAGGAAATACAAGGATAAAAGTAAAGGATTATCATAGCAAATAAGGAGGCAGCAAGTAATGCTTTTTTTTCCATTTTTTAAAATGTCAAATAACTACGGTATATATTTATGAGTACAATGTGATGTGTCCATACATGTATGCATTGTGGAAAGAGCAAATCAGGCTAATTTACACATCTCTTACCTTACATATTTTTCATTTCTTTGTGGTGAGAACATTTAAAATCCACTCTTTCAGCAATTTTGAAATATACAATTCATTATTATTAACTATAGTCACTTTGCTGTGTAATAGATCACTAGAACTTATTCCTCCTAACTGAAACTTCGTACCCTCTGACCAACATCTCCCTGACTCCTCCAGCCTCTGGTAACCACTATTCTACTCTACTTTTGTGAGTTCAAATTTTTTAGATTCCAAATATAAGTAAGATCATATAATATTTGTCTTTCTGTGCTTGGCTTATTTCACTTGGCATAATGTCCTCTAATGACACAAATGACAGAATTTCGTTCTTTTATAAGGCTGAATAGTATTCCATTGTGTATATATACCACATTTTTAAATCCAATCATCTGTTGATGAACACTTAAATTTTCTTTTTTGTTGTTTTTAAACAAGCCTGTGCTTTTCCTTGGATTCTGTTCTCCCTCCCTCCTTCCCTCCTTCCTTCCTTCCTTCCTCCCTCCATTCCTTTTCTTTTTTTCTTTCTCTCCTTTTCTTTTCTTTTTTTTAATAAGCCTGTGCTTTCCTATCTTGGCTATGTGAATAGTACTGCAATGAATATGGGAATGCAGACATCTCTTCAAAAGACTGATTTCAATTCCTTTGGATAAATACCCAGTAGTGGGACTGATGAATCGTTCTAAGGAAAGCATGGTTGCTCTCCATGATGTCAACCTTGAAAGGTTAGGGGTATATTTTACTCGTCTTCAAATAGATCCTCCGTCACTTAAAGTTTTGTCAAAATGGGTTTAGACAAACTGGATTAAAATGCCTGAAATCTGATCAATAAAACCATGCTCAGTTTCTTTCACAACAAGAGTCAAAAATATGGGTGCAAATTTTTTTTAAAAAACCTTAAGTTTTATAACCTGAAAAATCACCAGATTAAAAAAAATTTAAAACAATGATGCAAATGACAAATATAAGCAAAATAAAGGGGGAAAAGCAAGGAGACAAAACAAAACAAAACAAAAAAACCCAAACCAGAAGCTTGAAATACAATGACAGAATAGTACTGTGACAATCCTAAATTAAAAAATGAGTAAGTGAGTGTGTGGGTGGGTCACTGAATGAATTAAAGTCCCCAGTTAAATAGTATCAGAATGGGTAGAACAATAAAACAAAAAATAAAATTCTGGATTCAGATGCCTTCTTCCCTGTAGGCACGGTGACCTATTATACAAGGCAAATGTAATCAATGCTTTCTCTGTCTAAAATCCTTTAGTAGCCATTAGGATGAAGTCCAAACACCTCGATGCCCTATGAAGCCCCTCAAAACCTTGTCTATTTCTCTAGCATGGCTGCCATCCAACTAAACACTATTTAGTTGAGTACCTTAAAAAAATAAAAAAGGTTTTTCTCTCACCTCTAGGTATTATCTCATGCTCTTTCCTCTCTGCCTTTCTCCCCATTCCCTGAGTCTGGCTAACTCAAATCTCAGCTTAAACTGCATCTTCTACCAGCATGCCTTCCCCGCCCTCCTCAGACCAGACACCTTCAGCAACATTATCACAACACTTTTCAATCCTACTACAAGTGCTTTCTTGTTTCCCCTGGAAAGACTTCTTAAATACGTTTAAGACCACAATCAAATGAAGGAAAAATTGATGGATTTATTACATCAAAATAGGAATTTCTATGCGACCAAGGACATCAAGAACAAGACAGGAACACTCTCACATTGCAAATTAGTGCAACCTCTGTGGAAAAGAATTTGGAGATACCTCAGAGAGCTAAAAATAGAAATACCATTCGATCCAGCAATAGCACTATTAGGCATCTACCCAAAAGAGCACAAAACATTCTGCGATAAAGACATCTGCACCCGAATGTTTATGGCAGCACAATTCACTATTGCAAGAATGTGGAAACAACCCAAGTGCCCGTCAATCCATGAGTGGATTATTAAAATTTGGTATATGTTTACAATGGAATATTACTCAATCATAAGAAACGACAGTGATCTAGAACCTCTTACATTTTCCTGGATTAAACTTAAGCCCATTATCCAAAGTGGGGCACCACAAGAGCAGAAGAATGGGCTCCACCTGTACTCGCCATCAAATTGGTACTAACTGATCAACACTAGGTTGATCACATGGCAGAAATACTCTCCAGGGATTAGGGGGATGGGGGGGTAAATCCGCAACTAAAGGAAACGGGGAGCACTGTAGGGGGGGAAGGGCATGTCTTTAACCCGCATTTGGGTGAGGCAAAGACATAAAGTGTAACCCTAATGTTTGTACCCTCACAACACCCTGAAATAAAAAAAAAAAAAAAGAAAAAATGTGGTACATATACACAATGGAATATTATTTATCCATAAAAAAGAAAAATTCTGCCATTTGCAGCAACACGGATGGAATTGGAGGTTATTATGTTAAGTGAAATAAGCCAAGAACAGAAAGACAAATATTATATATTCTTATTTGTGGGAGCTAAAAGCAATTTATATCAAGGAGGTAGAGAGTAAACTGGTGGCTATAAAGTTTGGGAAGGGTAGGTTGCAAAGGGGATGGAGAGAAGTTAGTTAATGGGTAGAAAAATACAGTTAGATGGAAGGAATAAGTTCTAGTGTCTGATAACACAATAAGGTGACTATAGTTAACAACAATTTATTGTATATTACAAATAGCTAGAAGAGAATATTTGGAATGTTCCCAACACAAAGAAATGATAAACATTTGAGGTGATGAATATCCCAATTTCTCTAATTTGATCAATATATGTATGCATATACCAGAATATCACATGTAACACAGAAAAATGTATAATCATTATGTATCAACTTTAAAAAATAACAATAACAAAATGAGATACAAATAAGAAAAAAAAAAGAACATAACATACATATGACAGAATGGGAGATGACATTTGAAATGTTTAAAACCAATATCACTACAATATGTAAAGTATCTTAGAAAAAAAAAAGGACAGCATCTCTAATAGGAATATGACCAATGAATCACAAATAGGCATTTTCCAGGAGAGGAAATTAAAAAGGGCATTAGTATATGAAGAAGACAAAACAAAAATTAAAATGATCATTTGCTGGATAATTCCAAGTGTTGGCAGGGATGTTGGAACACAGGAACCCCAGACACTGTTGGTGGCTGTACAGACTGTACAGACATTCTAGAGAGCAGCATTCTAACACTGTGTGTTAGTCAAATTAGGTAAACACATATCCTATAATTCAGAAATCCTCTGTCTGTGTATACATTCCAAATGAATTCTCACGTAAGTCCATAAACAAAAACACATGAGGATATGCACTGAAGCACCTTGCTGCATAAATATTTGTAATAGTAAAAGCTAACAGCACAAGCTAACGTGTATAAACAAAACCACTTTCCCCCCATTCATCATTTTCTTTGTTAATCTTTAACAAAGCATGTGCTAGGTACATGATCTTAGAGGTGCCTCAACAACCATCATTTTATAGGTAAGGAAACTGAGGCACAGGAAAGCTAAGTAACTCGGTTAAAGTCACCCAGAGAGTGAGCTTTACTGGATACATTTCAAACCCAGACAGTATTACTCTACAGTAAGGGTCAGCAAACTATGGCCCATGGCACAAATCTAACCTGTCTCCTATTTTTGTAAATAAAGCTTTACTGGAACACACCCACATTCACTCATTTACATATCGTCAGTGGCTGTTTTTGTGCTACAGCAGTAGAGTTGAGTAGTTGTGACAGAGACTGTGTGGTCTGCAAAGCCTTAAATATTTAATTTTGGGTTCATTACAGATAAAAGTTGCCAACCTTAGCCCTAAAGGAGTGTTGTCCAATAGAACTTTTTCTGTGATGATGTAAATGTTCTACATCTACACTATCCAATATGGTCACCAATAGCCACATGTGGTTTATTTATTTTTTTTTTCCACATGTGGTTTATTAAGTATTTGAAATGTGAATAGTGTGAATCAGGAACTCAATTTTTAATTTTAATTTTTAAATTTAAATAGTCACACATGGCCAGTGGCTACCATATGTCAAGAAGTATGAAGAATCTAAGATTTTACCCTACTTGCCAGTTAACAAGTAAACGTATCAAAGTTCTATGGCTGCTGGTTGAAGACATGAGGCTTCTGGAAAAAGACAAAGGACTTCAGTATTCTCAGCGCAGCAGGCAGCATAAACTTAATGTTTATATCAATTCCCTTTGTCCCAAAGTGCCTAAGAGGTGACATGAAACAGCCTCGTGCAGTGAATTCTTATAATTTTTAATATAAGCCAGATTTTCCCATCCCAAAAGTAGGGCTTAGTAATCCTTGACACAGTTTCCAGTTCTACACCTTCATGGTCAATCCAGATGTCTGAATTACACAACTTCCTCCTGGTGACCACCTCCCTACGGGACAGCTACATACAGCCTACCTGACTGGTCCTGCTGACTTGCACACCCCACAAGGACTATGAAGATATGCCACAGTGACCACCTGTCAGTCACTGCATGACCTCCTGGAACTTGTGCCTGCTTGCTTTAAACCTACCAGCTCCCCAAAGGAAACCTATCTGAAAAATGCTCTGGACCCACAGGACCCTTTCTCTCTCTCCCTGACCTCCATGTATGTGGCCTCCAGGCATGCTGTGTAGCCCCCAGGACTTGTAAGTAGTAAAATCTTTATTTCCATCTTCTGTCTCCCCTAATCACTGGAGGAGTGCTATCTTAAAGATCCAAAATTAAAATACCCAGGTGAATGCTATATACACACTGGGTTTTCATCGCAGCTAATGGACCCCAAGTTTAGGAAATCTCATTCTTTGATAATAGACTGCAAGCAAATCTGCTCCAGAGGGAGACATCATCTTTATTATACTGGATAGCAAAACAAACTCACCCTCTTCTCTGGTGGGACACATTGTCTCTATCTTCCGAGGATGTTCATGGTACAAACAACCTTGAAAAGATAGTTTGGAAGAAAACCTGTCCATGCCACCCCTCGAAAGATGTGCAGAAATGTGAGACCTATGGAGAACTGTCTCCCAATACCATATTACATAACACAGTCCTGGAGCCCATCTGTTAACCACTATGCTGTCATCACGGATTTGATTTTCCAAGAGTCTACAGTATTTTTAGCATCTTCCTGATCCTACATCACTTTAACTGAAACAAGATACTTGGAATACTTAATGATGTTATAAAAAGGATCACAGAAGAAGGTTGATTCATCTGTTAAAAAATCCAACATTAAAGAATTCTGGGGAAAAAAACTAGCACTAGCGTCTATGAAAATGTCACCTTGGACACAGAATTTTAAAGCTGAGAGGGATATTAATAGAAAATTCTCTATTTCAATCCTTTTTTTTTCACAAATAAAAACCTGATGTTCAAAGAGATTGAATAATTTGATCAAGGTCATCCTTCTGATTTATAATAGCAGGAGGTTTACAGTCCAGATCTCCATCCACTATCACGTTAACAACAGTTAGTAATAGCTAAGAATACAGAATCTGATTGGAGAATGCCTAATTTTGAATCCAAGTTCTACCACTTTTATCATCTCTGTAACCCTGGAAAAGTGCTCTAATCTTTGTAAAAGTAGGTTTTCTCACTTATAAAATGGGGCCAACAATTACATCTATCTCATACAAGTTGTTGTAAGGAATTACTGAAAGCACTTAGCACTGTCCTGGCACAGAGAATGTACTCAAATCCATTTTACTTATTATTGTTGGGTTATTATGTTATGTTTTTGATAAAGAATGGAACAAATATCCCCTGCATACTGAGACCATAATTAAGGTATGCTACATAGAAAAGTGGGTAATTCCACTGCAATGAGGGATACATCTATACAAGTGATATTTGAACACTGTCTCACAAACCAAAGGGCAGTGAGAGCAAATATAAGACAACCACTGCCTGGAGGTAGAGATATTTGAAAGATTACTGGCTTGCCCTTTAATTTCCTTATTAATTTTGCAGATGATCAGCTGTAATACACTGTCCCAGAGGTCATACAAGTCTCCATCCTTCCTCTACCTTTATAAAAAATCAGCAAATTAGCAAAAAGCAAAGCAATTTAAGGATTTTATTTAAAATATTAACCTTCAAAAGCATTGCTAAAGTCATTAACAACTCAGCTCTATATTCAATACCAACTGTTTCTTCATTTGTGGATCCTCTATAATAACCATCATAACTGATATTAACAACGGTCATTAGGAAAAAGTTAAATTCAGAACGGAACAGCCAAAAAAAAAAAAAAGTCAGGATATTTTAGTCAAATTTTGAATCCTAACACTAACATGAGCTAAGTCCTCTATTATCCTGAAATTTAATTTAAAGCAAGATCCTTACCAAAACAGATAAACTGACACTTGACTGTATGTTCCTTTACATTCACTGATTTTATTCATATGATTTTTAGTACACTCACATTTACTGGAATGATACTGTGAAAGCTGTTTCCCTTCATGATCAGTCCAAGGAGAGGGTACGATGACATCTTTAGTGAAAAACTAGGAAAATTAAAGTCATATAATTAGGCATAACTTCCCCCAAAATATGAGAAGGTACCTGTGTTACTTTCATATAACCAATAATCATGTGATATACTGACTTTTATATTTAAAATTTGTAGTACTTAAAAGCACAAATGACCAAAAGTAAAATGGAAGAAATTTCAAGTATTTATAAAGAGAAATCTTAATACTTCAAATCAACAACTTAAATTTGAAACTTGCAAATTAAGCTAAGGGCACTAATCATAGAGAAAATACTTTAAGCCAGTATGAATGGTGTGCTGGACCTGGCTGGCTTCTACTAGCTTTCGAGATCTGATTATTAAATTTTTAGGAATTCTGTGCATCATTTGTTAAACAAAGGCAATTTTAAAAATAATGAAAATTTACAATTAAGTAAATTGTATTAAAAATAAAGGTAATAAATACTCAAAACTCATCATTTGCTAATTACTACATTTACCAATATCTATGCTCTTGAGGTTAATTATGTCTCTTTATCTGTATGGTGGAATTCTCACATACAATGATGTGCCACTGTACTTCTTTTCCCATTCAGTGATGTCACATCAGTGCCTGAAACTGGACACGGCTGGAGTATTTACTCCATGGGTAGCAGCGATCACTAAAAACAATACACTTTCCATGACCAAAGGGCCAGTTGTTAAACATTTACCAGCACACCACTGGGCAGCATACTCAAACGCAGACAGGGCACTTGGATATAATTCTTTCCTCTTTCATTCCTAATACAGTATTCCTTCCCTTCTCTATGGTTTGGGGGTAACTGAAAACATCTTTTTTATATTTGCCTACACATACAAGAACTAATTTCCTTTAACTAAATTACCTATGAATTTATAAGGAAAAGATGAAAAAAAAGAGGAGGGGTCAGATTATGATATAGACAATTCCCAGGAAAAAAAGAAATGGAAAGGACCCATAAACTTAGGAAGTGACACGTAAGTTCACTTAAAGGTAAAGAAATGCAATATCAGACGACAGGATGTTATTTTGAAGTAATAAGAGTAGCACAAATTAAGAAGTTTGATAATAATTAGTATTGGAGATGTGAAAAAACAGGCAGTATAATAACGTAACACGATAATGTACACAGGAGTGTAAACTGGTATAACCTTTTAGGAGGACAATGTGGTAAAATCTACCAAAGCTAAAAATTCACAAAGCTTCTGACTTAGAAGATCCATTTCAAAAACACAGATATATGTACAGATCACTGCAGCACCACAGCATTATTTGTGACAGAAAAATAATGAACACAACTGAAGCATCTGTCAAGAGGGGCAGCGTTACTATGCTGTTGCTAAAAGCTAAAAGATAAAAATCTATATATGCTGATTATAAAAAACATCTAAGAAAAATTATTAAACAAAAATAAGATGCAAAATAGTATGAAAATGATGATCCTATTTGCCTAAAATATTTAAAGGATATATGCAATTATACATAAAATTAATCTGAACTATACATAAGAATTATTATAGTAGTTACCTTTAAGAAGTAGAAGGAGAAAAATGAGGCTTTTCATTTTCATTTTATATTTTTTCTTTGCACTTGAATTTTCTTTACCATATGCATGTATTTATTGTATTTTCAAAAATATATATTTAAAAAATTTAATTTGTTCCTGATACATTAGCCCTAATCTTCACTCTGACTTCATTTTCTTAAGCGTTACCTGCTGAATTTCCCTATAAAGTTGGGAATTCTAAAAAGAGGGAGTATTTTCCAAAATGTTGGGAATTTACAAAGAGTCTGAGAATATTCAGCTGGGGAAGGATCAAGTGATTGGATCAGAATGAAAACTGGGAAGTTACTAGATAAAGAAGTAGGTGATACGTGGCAGGAATAAACATATGAAACTGCGTTCTAAAAAACAGGCTGAGGGAACAACACTTACACTAAAAAAAAAATAAATGCAGGAGAAGCCTGAGCATCACCTGATCTTTGAACATGCCAGAGCAGAAATCTTTTGAAGTGCAGAGAGCCAAGTATAGCAAAGGAATGGAGGTAGCTGGAGGGGGAGATGGAGAGACCAAGGGAAAAATCAGAAATGTTGCCGTGACATAAAGACTTTCTCAGGAAAGAAATAGATAGATATCCCTTACTTACACTCTAAGAAAAGGAGTTCAGCAAACAAAAAAAGCAAAAAGCGAAAAACTTAGTTTATTTTTATTTTAAAAAACTCTACATTTATAATATACACTTTCTGCTTTTAGCAGTAAGACATTTTATTTCATGAAATTTATTCTATGTCTGAAAAATCCAAAGTCTTAACATCAAAAGATAAAACCATTACCAATGCCAACCTAGATTGTAAAGGCCTGAAAATATTCAACTTCCTCTACACAAACTCCAACTGGAAACAGAAGTTTGTGCTAATCAATATTCCGAAGGCACAAGGAAGAAAAATTGTGGTAGGCCCTGACAACGAAAAGATGAACGAAGCACAATATTGGCCAAAAAAGAATTCAGTCTAGGGGAGAGAAACACTAAAGTGATCACTGCAACAGTATACAAGTACTATGAGAAGTAGTGGAATAGCTGAAAATCATTGGCCTTCAGAAAGCACAGAAAGGTGCCCATATAGCTGGGGGCAGGGGAGGGCGGGTGGGGAGATGAGACAGTGAAAGATTTGCAGAAAGTCTTCCTAAAAGAGGCCACACGCATGCAGAATTGATCCTTAACTGACTTAATGATCAGTAACAGTTTTAAGTTACCTCTTCAATGGCTTTTTGTCTTTTGTCTTCCACATCTTTATCTATTCTATACAGAGATAAAGAAGAAAAATAACCATGCCATTACTTAAGCTTATTGAACATTTAAAATAATAACCTTTCAAAGAAATAATTTCCCTCTGTTGAAAACTGGCAAATGTTAAGCTCACTTTAAAATAAAAACTGGTATCTTATAACATTTAGCAAATGGCAGTATTCTGAAATTCGACATTCAGCTATTAGGCTTACCTCCCTCTTTTCCATTCAAAGCTTGAATGGAATAATATTTTCTCTTACAAGACTTACACTGATAAAATTTTTAAATTGCAATTAACGACATGAAGTAATCTCAATAAACTTTGTCCTTTAGTCAATACAAATTAAGAAGTATTTCATTCAACAGACAACTAAAATTTGCCCAAATTCTTACTCTTTGATTACAGCAAGTTTATCGTAGCAACGATTTTAGAATCAACTCTTACTCTGAAATCGAAGAAAAGAAACTATCATCCTTACAGCTCTGAATAAACAGGCAAGAATATTAATTCTGAAATAAAACCTCAACAATATAAAATTTTCTCCAAATGATCATTATTTTTTTTTCACTTTGGTACAGTATACCATTACAGCAACACCAATTTCTCAGCTATAAGATTTAATATAAAATATTGAGTCTCAAGCACAAGGTGTGTACTTGCCAACGACTCAGCAGTTAGCCTTGTAGGACCACTTCTTTATTCCACTCTAGGAAAGAATGCTTGCTTTTCATCAATAAATTGGTAAGATACTTTTTTACAACAATTTAAAATGATTTTCTCTCAGAAATTTTTCCTGTATATATTTGTTCATGGCTTAACAAAGCTTATGTGAAAATATACACATTTCAGAAATTTAAATCAAGTGGATTTTTCAAGTGGGGGAATTATAAGAAAATAAACTACAGTGATAACCCAAATATCCCAGTTTGAACAACAGCCATTTTGAGCCTAATAACTCAGTTCTCTTCATCTTATTACAGTCATGACCAGGTGAAAATAACAGAGCATAATAATCTTAGCATCTGAACTAAGTTCTACACTTGCCATTACCATATTCAAAAGACTTTTGCTACTTCATCAGAGGGACTTTAAGAACCAGAAATATTCAGCTGATTGCTGGAAACAGTTATCCATGGGACCAAATATTGTAGAGCCAGATTATAGAAGGTTCTAAGAGGTCATACAAGGCAGAGGATCCTGACCAGCAATCCACTGAACACAGGTATGATGCATACAGGTATCAGGTGTGCCATGAATGTAGATCCTTTGTGGGGTGGGAAGGAGAGAAGACTTTAGAACCGGTCACCTCCTGTGTGGACAAGACTCATTTGTTTACACCAGTATGCCTTACAGTTATCATTTTCTGTGTGGGCAGTGGCATGAAAAGGATAAGAAAATGAAATAGAGTGCTCTGATTAGGTAAAAAGAGATATTGGAAGCCACTGCTTATTTCTAAGGATGAAATCAACACGCTCTCTTAAGAATATGCTCATTATCCTTGGTAGAAGCCTTAACCATTCATTCAATGACATCAGTAAAATAAATTAAAATTAGGACATTTTCCCATTCTTTCCCCCCTTTTATATCACAAATCTACTTACTGAAATATAGTAGGATTCTCTTTATAAACCTACACAGACAATACATAATTTATCAATAAGTATAGAAATATTGTGCTGCAACTTTGGTCTTATTATATTGTTGACTCTTGAGAACAGGAATAATATCCTGCCCTTCTCTTCAGTGTTTCCCACAGTGCCTCACTGTGAGAATAAATATCTCTCTACCAATAAGATATAATAATTGTCCATGATTCAATATATTGAAGAGATGAAGCAAAATAATTTAAGCATGCATTTTGTGTGAAACAAAAAAATTAGTCAGTAACTGTGACTCATTTGCTTTTCGATATTCTTTTCACCTTCTCTTTCAAAGGTATTATTTAAATTTAAGTTAAAATGCTTTTGTGCTTTGCGCTCATTCTCTTCCTACAACACTTTGCATGGACATTCATTAACTATGAGTGAATGGTCATCAAGTTACCAAGCGAAGAGAGGATGGAGGAGAAAAGCCAGGTAAGTATTTGCAAGAACATCTCAACATGTGTGCCTTTTTATGTGACTTGAATTCTAAAGTCAAAGGGAAAAGAGTTATCCTTTGTTTTGGATTGATGAGCCATCTACCTTAGGACAGGAAATTAAAAGCTGGTCATATAATGATTTGAGTTTTTTCAAATATAAAAAAAAACAGACTACAAAGCCGATATAAATGAAAGACTCCCTAAAACTATAAAAGAATAATATTACCTGATAATTTGAGATTAAAAACTAAGTCTGTTCCCCCAAAGAAGTGCATGTTCTCACTACATTAGGCATCATTAATCAGCACAAGTCTGAGGCACATTAGTGCCTTGAACCCTACACAACACACTGACAAATACGTTAAGACTGCACTGGGTATTATGTAGAATCCTAGAAATTATAATTCAGACCCCGTAAGTGAACTATGTCAAAGTTGGCTGGTGTCTAAAAAACCTCTCTGTTGTGAATGGACACCCTTCCATTCCATGTGTCTTTAACTTGTTAAGGGGATTTTAGGCTTCCCCAAATATAGATAGCAACTAACCAGCATTTTGCTTTCCCCCAAACTACTAAAAAAGAAAACAAACAAAAGTCAATGGCAGGCCGGGCACGGTGGCTCACGCCTGTAATCCTAGCTCTCTGGGAGGCCGAGGCAGGCGGATTGTTTGAGCTCAGGAGTTCGAAACCAGCCTGAGCAAGAGCGAGACCCCGTCTCTACTAAAAATAGAAAGAAATTAATCGGACAACTAAAAATATATAGAAAAATTAGCCGGGCATGGTGGCCCATGCCTGTAGTCCCAGCTACTTGGGAGGCTGAGGCAGGAGGATCGCTTGAGCCCAGGAGTTTGAGGTTGCTGTGAGCTAGGCTGACGCCACAGCACTCACTCTAGCCCAGGCAACACAGTGAGATTCTGTCTCAAAAAAAAAAAAAAAAGTCAATGGCAGAAGCCACAACATGCAAAAAGGTACAAATTTCAAAATGCCCTTCCTTCTACCAAATGCTGGGGAGGCAGACCTGTCCCATAAGTAACAAGGGAGAAGACTGTCTAAAAGAAAAGGGTTTCTATTCAGATTTGGAACTTTTAGCAAGAAAATCTTTCGGGATACAGTTCTTTGAACTCATTCATTCAGATGGGAAAAATCTGCATCAGAATTTTTTCTCCCTGATGTCTTTACATTATAAAAATATTCAGTACTTAAATTTTCTTATGTTTCTTCACTTGAGGGTGTTATTACACTTAGGTGCAAGAAAGGAAAACTTACCGAGAATGACTTAAGTATAAAGCTTGACGATGAATATCTTCTGGATCTATTTCTACAGGATTTATTACAGCTAGTTGATCGATAGACCATCTAAATTTCCCTGGAGTCTTAATAAAAGAAAGCGAGTTTATAAGTAAAAGGAAACTGAAACAGTTCATTAATATGCTAACCATTGTCACCTTCAAAAATAATGTGAATGGTTATAATATTTTAAAGCTTATATTTTAAAATTTGATTTTACCACTAAATTAAGTGGTATATGGTGATCAAATCACACTAAATCAACTGACTTGACTGTATCTATCTCTTTTAAAAAATCTTCCACCTGGGTAATTTTAAAAAGTCACATAATACTAGAAAAATCACAACAGAGTAATAAAGGTATAAAACTTCCACGATTGATACTCATCAGTGATACACTACACCCATGTAAAAGTAAAACTCTCTTAGAGTTATCAAAAGGTCTTTACTTTCACTAAGAATAAACTAAAATTAAACGAAGTCCTAACTATAGAAGTGGCTGCAAAAGCTCATAAAATAGTTGATCCTTAAAATAAATATGAACTATTTATATTTATTCAATTATCCAAAAGCTTATCTAAATCCTAATCTGTAACTAAGCAATATATTCTAGACAAGTTCAGGCCTAAAAACTCAAGATGCCATACATTCTAACTTTGAGGATTAAGTTGTAGTCAATCCATTGTTTATTTTTATTAATACTAAAAGATAACTAAATTTTAATATGATTCATTTAAAAACCATAAGGTCAGATTAATGATTCAATATAAACTGTAACACTGCTCAACTTTCTTTTAATGCATACCTGTTCACTGTCCAAGCTGACATAAAAGGGTAGCAGAAACAGCCACTAAGTTTGCAGTTTTTCTAGGTAATGTGAAACATCAGACATCAAAAGAACTTCTCCAGTATAGCAAGTAATAGTAAAAATAAGATAAAGTGATAAAGCCTTCCCTAATCTCTAAAGAGCACTTTCCCTTCATATCATCATTGTGCTACTAATCATAGCACATATCACATTGTTTTGAAATTGTTCATTTAGTTGTGTCTATTCCATTAAAGTAGGGGTTGCCTTCTTTTAAAAGCCTGCAAGCTAAGAATGGTTTTGACATTTTTAAATGGTTGAAAAAACCCCAAAGGATATTAATATTTCTTGACACCTGAAAATTACATGAAATTCAAATTTCAGTATCCATAAATAAAACTTTACTGGAACATAGCCACATTTTTTGTTTACACATTGCCTATGGCTGCTTTTGTGATATGAGGCAGAAGTGAGTAGTTGTAACAGCCATCAAATGATCAGAAAAGCCTAAATATTTATTGTCTGGCCCCTGACAGAAAAAGTTTGCTGACCCTTACATTAGAGTATAACCTCCTTGAGGATTTGTGCCTAATGATCCTAACTTGTTCTCAGTGTAACCCCAGTGCTTAGCATTGTATCTAATACATAGCAACACTCAATGTTTGCTAAAAATGAGGATAATTAAATAATACAGCTTCTTTTATAATATATTAGTAAATATATCATCAACCATAGTATCCAGCTCCTACAATTGCAGGAAGTTAACATGTTATCTCTTGAATTAAAAAAAGAACCAAAAACAAATGCTAACTAAAAAAAAATCTTCTAGCTAACGTATTATTAGCCCAACCATGAGATTATCATGAACACTATAATTAAAAAAGCACATTGTAACTATATATCCTCCATGATGTATATTTCCTCTTTACCTTGTAAAAAAAAATGTTTCCATTTAAAATTATTTGTAATTATGTACATTTAAAATTAGTGGTAAACACTAGTCAAGAATAACTTACTGGTAATTTTGTTGATTTAAAAACAGAAGGGCTGGCAAGGGTTTGTTCATGAAGATTAGAATAATCACTAGGACTTTCAAAAGGATTTAAAACAGGGATCCTTCCTGGAGTTTCCGGTGTTATTTGCATTTTTGATTCTTTGACATCTCCCATAGCCCAGAGAGAAGGCTAAAAAGAAATCAGAAGTATGCATGTTAAAACTACAAAGTTCTATAGATATTAATTTTGACAAGATATATTCAACAAACACGTTTCACAAAAAGAATTAACTCAAAACCTAAGGCTCTTGGGGGCTATTTTATAGTGTATACAAAAAGTATCACATATACATTTCTCGAGCGATTCTAGAAATACTCTTGAAAGCTACAGAGGTATTAGTTGATATAATTTTGCAGAAGAATTAACAAGTTCAGAGAAGTTAAGTGGCTTATAAGTTAACAGTCAACCAAATGTGAATGAGTTCAGACTTGCCTTTGAGACTACTAAATCCCTTTTTAATTAAAGGACTTACATCTATAGTTTTTTATTCATTATCTCTAATCTCTAAACACAATGAACATCCTTCGGATACCCTAGCAATTGCCTAACAAACTATAGTTGCAATTAAACAATTCTTTGTAGCAAGCAGGTAAGATCGTATGACACTTATGCCCTTCTTGCACATTGGTCGTAGCCAGAGAAGCATGATTGACAGGGGCTAGCAAATTAACCGCCTTTGGTTGCTTTTCCTCAAACATCTCCCTTTCGCCAAGACGCCCCCAGGACAGAAAGCGAGACTGCATCCAATCAAAGGCGGCTGCAACTAGGAGAGGAAAAAAAAAAAACCAGAAGACGACTCTACTACTGAATGCCTGGAGTGCAGCTGGCTCGGTCGAGTGAGGAGCAAAGAAGGTGTCGCCCCCAACCCTACGCGATCACCCCTTCTTGGTGCCTTTCTCTTCCGCACCTACTCCCTCGCTGTTCCCATTCATCCGGGGCGAGCGGGCAGGCAGGTGCAGACCTAGAAAAAGTGAGCTTTCCAATTCGAGACAGGAGGAAAGGCCAGGGACGACAAAGACCGCACCTACCTGAGTATATAAAAAAGAAGCCCCCAATACCGACTTCAGGGTGCTCCCGGGGGCCAAGGCAGCCCCCACGACAGGCACAGACTCTTTAACTCCCCGCTTCCGCGCTGGCTCAGGCCAACCAGCGCACGGGGCCTGTGCGCGTCTGCCAATCGCGCCGCACCGCTGTCCGCGAACCGGCCAATCGCCCGGAGGCCGCGTAGGAAATTCGAATGGCAACTCCTCGCTCCACATTCCGCGCAGAGAAACGAGGCTCCAAATTCAAATCAACGCAGCCGCACGCCGGCGGCGAGCGCGAGGGGCGGAGCCTGCCGGCGTGAGCGGGACGCGCGGTGTGAGCGCCCAGGAGAAAGGAAGGCGCTCCAGTTCCGGGTCAGGCCCTTCTCCCGCCTCCCTCGGCCTCCGCCATGGCGAGCAGTGGCGGCGCCGGGGCAGCGGCGGCAGCGAACATGAATGCGGTGAGGGAGACCATGGACGGTGAGTGCCCGTTGCGCTCTCTTTACCTTGCCCGCGGTTCCCAGAGCCAAGGCCCCAGGCGGGAGGAGCCTAGAGAGGACTTAAGGTCCCCTCCCAACCCCAAACGGCATCTTCTAAGATCTTCGGTCGGGGCCCACGAGGCCGCAGGGCTGATGGACTCATCCTTTGAGAGTTCTCTCTTCGCTCCTGCGTAGTTTGTCGCGCGCACGGCGTTCGGTCCCCAGCGACAGCCGGGTGCACGCTCCGTCCCTCCCGTGCTGGACCCGGAGTGCCGCGCCCGCTCCATCCCGCGGCCTCGACCCCGCGCGATACCCACGCCAGTACCGGCACAGCCAGTGCCGAGCGCTTCGGAAGCCCCCAGACTGGAAACCCAAAGACTGGAAGCCCAGTGTGGACATGGGCCGTGTGTGTTTGATCACCGCGATGTCCCTTGCCCCGGCACTTTGGGGCACGTTGCTGCGCACTTTTTAAATATCTGGCGAATGAACAAGTTGCTCTTTCATCAGAATTACCGCAGTTTTGCCTTTAAGTGGGTGACTCCAGTGCCCGGGTGCTATGGGTGTTGCCTATTTTCACGCCCTGAGGCACGTGGGTGTGAAGCCTACACAAGCGTGGTAGAAGATAAAATAAGTGTTTGCAGTTACTCTCTCTCTACCCTCTAATGTTGGCTCTGCCACTTTATACTCCTGTGGTGACCTTGGACAAGCTACTTACTTAAACATCTTGGAGCCTGCTTCTTTTTTTTTTTTTAATAAAACTCTCTCTCTTAAGGTTGTTGTGAATATTTAAATTAGACAACCAAGTAAAGGCATATCAAAGTTGATCAATTATGTTTTGTATTATATAAGATGTCATCTCACTTGTGCACTGCTTTCTTTGTCTATATTTGTCTCACCTCCACCTGTATATAAATTTTTGATAGATGTTAAATATTGCCGTTTGCAGTCTGCCTGGACATTTTCCAAGGGATATCACATCAGCCTGCATCTTTGTAAAGATAATCCTATGGAATCCTCACTAGGTAGTGCAGCCTTCCTACTGTGTCTCTGCCTCCTTCATTGATGGGCTCTTCTTCTTACATAGCACCTCCATAAAAGTGTTCTGATAAAGGCTTCTGGCTTTTTCTACAGTGGCTGCTGCTTTATTTTTCAAAGAATTACTTATAAGAGCCTTTGCATGTAATTTTTCACTTATCCAGAATCTACCTTGCTGGTTGTCTGAGAATTTTGCTCTTTATACCATATCCAGCCTCTTTTTCCATCCTTCTTGGTGTATCACAGCTTATTAGTTTAGTTTTGTAAGTGGATTTATATACATAGGCTTTTATATAATGTTATTATCTTTTATCTTTTCTGGGGAAGTCAATAACAGAATTTCTGCCAGTTTTCTTATGTTAGCTGTACTTAGGTTCCTTATTTATATGGCCATAGGATTGCATTTGAATAGCAAACTCACATTTTATCTCTGATGGAACTACTGATGTACAAATGAGAACTGATAGTTTGTATTGGTTGCAGCATCAAGATATTTTCTGAGAGAACTCAAATATAAAATGAAGATTATAGAATGTGTAACATAAGGATGGAAAGCTTTCCCTTAGCCCTGAAAAGTTTTGCTAAAAAATCACCTCATAACAGGCAATTTAATTAGAGAAAAGGCATGCAAATTTATTTGATCATAGTTTTATGTGACACAGAGAACACTTCAGAATGAAGACCCAACCCCCTATTGGGGTGCAGAAGCTTCTGTACCATCTTGAGGTTACAGAAATAATGGGGGTTTGAACCTGGCAAATCAGGTTATGGGAAGAGGAATTGTGTTGAGGGGCAATAAATGAATACTAGGGAGAATTCAGTGGGTTTGAAGAACATACAATGGTCTGGGACAAAGTCTGTTGGGCCTGCAGAGTGGACAATGGTTTGAGACAAAAGTCTGTTCCATTCTGTTGATAGAATTTAGTCTTCTTCCTTCCTGTGGTATGGGTTCAGTTAATGAAAGCTCGGGGAAAGGACCAGAGGTAATTATATTCTTTAGTAGGTCCAGATTTCTGGCAGATCAGGAAACTTCAGAGAACAACTTCATCCTCTGCTTTGGAAGAGACTGTGTGTGTAGGGGGGTGGTTGTCACACCTTGAGGCTTTTTTTTCAGTTCACCGTGAACAGAGCATCATATTCTGCAGTATCGGTTTCTGAGTCCCGATAGTAAGAATATGGAAAAGTGGAGATTTTTGTAGAATAAAAGTTGATGTATGGTGTTTCACTGTATTTAAGTCAATGCACAAGAGCTGGTGTGAAGTTTTCAAAACTTTCTGAATCCCATTTCTCCCTTCAGTGACAGCATTTGTCTGCCCTCCTTGAAGATATGAGCCGCAAAACTCAACTGTGAACATTTGCATTGTAATTATGAAATGAAAGGATTTTCTTAAAGATGGGAGAAAGCAGGTGGACTTTGTAGTTTATTTGCATAACTCACTCTGAAAGGAACCTGATCTATCTCAGCCTGATTTTGTATAATGACTAGTGCATGAGTTCCTCTATTGCTGCAGTCCCCAGCCCTGAGGCTGTGGCCTTTAGCACGGCAGGAGGTGAGTGGTGGGGAGGCTTCATCTGTATTTTCAGCCACACCCCATCGCTCACGTCGCTGCCTTAGCTCTGCCTCCCCCCACTCCCCGTCTGTCCATGGAAAAATTGTTTTCCATAAACGGGTCCCTGGTGCCAAAAGGGTTGGGGACCACTGCTCTACTGACATCCTTAGATCCTCAACATTGTCTTCCTACATTCTCACTTAAAGTAGGCCTTTTCAACTACCCCTGTCTCCTTTGTAGTTAGTTGCCTCTTTTGCTTTTCACCTTTTTGAAATTTTAGATATTCTCTGTTGATAACTTCGTACTTCAATTTTTATTTTTTTATTCTAAAATTTTCCCTATGCCTCTAATTTTAAGTATGATAATTATTCCTTACCAAAGGCTTCATTGTAGTACTATTTTATGTATCAGGTAGTAAGCTTAAGAAACACATTATAGAGAAAGAAGTTAAAAGAATCCATAGGGTATTGATTGTTTAATTTAGCACTGCAAGGCACCGTCAGCAAGGGATAATTCATGCTACCACCATCAATCCAGTTGCTCATTTGAGAAAGAAATCTGGGAGTCAGTTTTGCTTACTCTTACCTCCCCTACTTCCTGTTTTTCACTAAGCCCTTTCAGTTTTTCACTCATTTCACTTTTGACCACTTGTCTAAATCTCTGCTGTCCATGCCACCACCGACTGCAATAATGTAAGTGGACTTCCTCACCATGTGTGCTCTGCCCATTTTCAAGATTCATCCCATATTCAGCCAAAGTCTTTAAAATGCCAGTCTGATCTTGTTACTCTTCCATTTTATATCTTCCAATAGCTTTGCACAATTCTAAAATCTTCAGTAAGACCTTAGAAGATTTATTTGTCTCGTTTATCTCACATTTTATACCCATTCACCCTCATCGTTACATTGCTTTCACCCTAGCTGTTCAGGTCTATGGATTTACCAAGTTTCCTCCAGAATAGGAATCATTACACAAATTGGTTTTTTAGCTCTCAGTCTTCACCCTTCCTCCTAACTGTGCATCATTCTGGTTAATTTCCACTCACTTTTGACATCTAAGCTTAATCGTCACTTCTTCAGACAAGTCTTTGCTAAATACTGTGTCCTTCCAAACTTAGTAAGATGCCCTTGTAATTTGTTTCAGAATTATGCCATTCTTATTCTTATTTATTACTTATTATTTATTATAACTGGAATCAGTTATTATTTTAATATCTATCTTTCTTCCTAAATTGTAATGTCTGTGAGGACCAGGACCATGTCAGCTTTGTTCACAACTATATTTCCAGCAGTATCATAACAGGCACAAAGTACAGTTAGGTACAGGTTGAGTATCCCTTATCTTAAATGCTTAAAACCAATGTTTTGGATTTCAGATTTTTTTTTAGGATTTTGGATTGTTGCATATACATAATGAGATAGCTTAAGGATGGTACCCACATCCAAACATGAAATTCATTTATGTTTTATATATACCTTATACACATAGCCTGGAGGAAATTTTATTTTTCCCTCAAGGACACTGAATAAACGTGTTGTGCACCTGCATTTTGATCTTGACCCATTACTTAAGTGGAATTTTCCACTTGTGGCTTCATGTTGGTGCTCAAAAAATTTCAGATTTTGGGGCATTTTGGAATTGAGATTTTAGGATTAGGAATACTCAACCCAACCTATACCAAATATACAGGAGGCGCTAAGGAAATAGTTATTGATTACAGACACTTTGTGAAGATGGGAAGTAAAGGTCAGTGTCAATTTTACAAGAAATCTTGAAATAGTACTAGAACTGAGATGGACCCAAAAAACAGCATAGAGTTATGGGAAGGGAAGGGAAAAGACAGGAGAAAAGCACGAACAAAGGCATGAAGTCAGGAATAAGCATAACATTTATAGGTTGGGGGTGGTCTACCATGATGAGAACAAACTGGAGAGAGAGGAGAAAACTGAAAAACTGTTAGTGGCTTCAGTAGAATTCATTAAGTTGGTTGGTTAGAAAATAAAAATATATAATTTTCCAGTGTATCAGCAGTAACCACTTAAAAATGCAGGGTGAAGTTTAATCCATTTATGAAAACAATCAAAAATAAAAGGCAAAGA